GGGGCCCAGAGCAGAGCCCCACAGGAGGTCACGGTGCGAGCACAAACAAGATGGAGTCGGTGTCGTCAGCACGCCTACGCAGACACTAACCGGCTGGACATGTGTTTGGTGAAGAGGCCTGCCTTTCCCATTGCTCTAGTAAAAGGAAGCTACTGGAGGTGCTATTCCCTTCACTTTCTTTGCATTTAGTGCCATGAGGTTTAGTAACGGGGATGCTGGTGACCCTATCCGACAGTTCCAGAACCTCAGTAGAATACTGGTGGGAAAAACCAGATCGGGGTTTAGGAGGAGAGGAGGTAGCGGCTGCGAATGCCAACTTTTTCAAGACCGTCAGCTTTGACAACAAAGGGAGATGGCTCAAGGTGAGGCGGGGAGGTGGGGAGCATGAGCATCAGACCCCAGGGCCACTGCCTTTGTACCACGACGCAGACGGCACGTGCTGGGACAGGAGGAGACACCAGCCGTGGGCGCCGTCACTCCAGCACTTGCCACACGCCGTGGCTCTAAGCACCGTGCGCTCAGCAACTCCTGCTGCTTCCGTACCACCGTGCAAAGCAGGGACCAGGACCATTCTCTCGTTTCCAGAGATGGATGCGGAAACGGACCAAGGTCACCATGAGATTCTATTTCCCATAGATGGCCACCACAGCTCTAGCCCCACATTCTCTTCTGACAAAGGACCTCGCCCCTCCTCCCTCCGAGTGGTGGGGTCTGTGCAGCCTTGCTTTGAACCTGTGCAGACCTTCATGTCTGACTAGGAGGACAGCGGAAATACAAAGCTGTGCCCTTGTGCCTGGTTTTCTGGGGCTGCTTGCTGCTGGACCCCAGCCGCTGTGTAGAGGGGCCCGCGCTGCGGAGGAAAGGAGGCCCCTGGCCCATAGTCCCAGCTGGGCTCCCCATGTGCAGCTAAGCACCAACTTGCTGGTCATGTGAGTGAGCCATCTTCAAAGTGAATCTCCCCCCCCCCCCCGCTGACTCTCTCTACCTAATGTGACATGGAGCAGAGAGGAGTTGTCCTCACTGAGCTCTGTCCAAATGACCCAAACAGATGACCGCTGCTATTCTAGGACACCGAACTGTGGGCAGTTTGTTAGGCAGCTACACAAAACCGAGAGCATCATCAGGAGCGGCGGGGGCAGGACTCACCCTCCTGCTGTGCCTCCTCCAAAAGCTCCCTCCAGTGATTGATGCCCCTCCCTTCCAGGTCACCGCCGCCCCACCGTGACTCCTTTGCAGACTCTGCCACTGACTTACTCCTCCAAGTAAGGGTGGTATCAGCAGTGTCCATCCCCACCCTCCCTGGGTAACCGTCCATCTGCTGAGAATGCCCAAGTCTCCGGCCGCTGCTCACACCTCCCATGCACGTATCACAGGCAAATCAAACTCAACACGTACACACCCACACTCACATTCCCGCCTGCCCTCCTCTTCCTCCATGCTCGCAATCTTGGTTGCTAGAGCCAGACACTTGGGAGCCACCCTTGACTCCTTTCCCCTCACTCTGACCAGTCACTCACTAATCGCCACCATATCTCATCTCCCAAGTATCTTCCAAATAGCCCCCTTCTCTTGCTATCCATTGCCAATCCCGGGATTCCTGCATTCAGTAATCTTGGAAATTACTGGAATGGCTTTCTAACCAGCCTCCCTTCCTCCGGTAACACCTCTTTCCAGTTTGAGTTCCTGGCCCCCTAGCTAAACATCAGGAGGATCTTAACAGGCCAAAAAATAATTTAATCAGAACAGACGTAACTGTCCCGCTTACCTTTATCACGCTCCCAATATGGTTCTGTTGAATTAAGAGATCAGTTAGTTCCGCAGTGTTCACAGGAGCCTTTAGGAAAAGCTAAGAGAAGAAAAAAAACTTATTTTAAATGAAAATCAAAGCATATTTTTTAATAAAACAACTCAGAAGAGCAATCCCAGGAGCAAAGGAAAAGCCTAGGAGAATCAAAGCTAAAGGCACTGAAATCGAAGAGGCAGTCAGTGGTAATAAAGGAGGTGTGGGGGAGAGGAGGAGAAGGATGGACAAAAGGCCAAAGAATTTGGTGACTGGACACTGGAGGCTATGAAGGGTTAAACCAAAGCCACCTTACATGGGGTAGGGATGGTGTAGAAGCAACAAGCATGGATTTTGTAGCACCAGCTGGTGCACTAAGGGACAGGACTATTATGGAAGAATTCTTCTGCCCCACAAAGTTTGGCTGGAAGAGAAAAACAGTAGAGTAGCTCAAATAATAAGCACATGAAAAGGAAAGTATTTTAGGACACAGGGTGTTTATTAACATATTAATCAGTTAGCCTTGGAGGGGAAGAGAAACAATCCTTCCTTCTCTGCAGGGTAGAGAGAATAAGAATGGGAATTCTAAAAGGATGAAATTTGACCTAGCTTGTGTTGAATGGCCTGGATTTTCTTAGAAGAGATTTGTGTGTAGGGGGTAAAAGACCATACCTGCTGCAGTAACTTCTTAATTCCGTCATAATCCTTATCAGAGATGGAGTAAGCTTCAAATTCAACATTCACTTCCTGCAAATAATGACGTAGGAGAGGCAGAAGAAAAATTATTAAATTTCCTTACTATCTACAGCCCACTGATAAGTCCTCGAAACAGGCACAGTGACATTCCTCTAGGGACTCAACTACTTTGATGTTAATACTTCGCTAAGGGAACAGTCTTAGCCCAACCCCCAGGATCCTGTAATTCTACTTTTTTAATATATAAAAAGGAAACTTCCTTTATCTCCACCCCCTCCCCAAGATACATGTTGGCAATCATCCCCCAAGCATATGACCTACCGATATACATCTAAAGGGCCTCATGACTCAGGTTTTATTAAACAGTAATAAACGACTTTTTCCCAACAATAGCTAGCCCCCTCAAGGTCCTGGAAACCTTGCTTCCAAAATTCCTTAGGGACTTACACTATCCCTAACCCCCTCCCAACTTGAAAGTATATAATGGGCACTCCTCATGACCCCAGCACAGCTTTCGGCCCCCAGGTCCTGTCCCCGTGCTTTAATAAAACCACCTTTTTGCACCAAAGATATCGCAAGAATTCTTTCTTGGCCGTTGGCTTCAAACCCTAACGTCTTTTCTACATGAAATGACACACAAAACTGGTCATCACACACGACTTCCTAAGATAATTCAAGCATTATTTTCTACTTTACAGATTTTTCTTTTCCCTCTATTGCCACTCTTTTTGCTTCTATCTATCTACAGAACATGCCAGAAAAAGGACACGAAAATGTTATCTGAAGAACTGTCCAGGCTTCAAACAGGCAAAAATATGGCCACGACTACCATCTGCACAGGTTACAAAGCCCCTTCGTGCCATCTCCTCACTTGACACAAAAGCCTGAGAAGAACAAAAAACTCAGATTGATCTAGTTTCAACGTAGAGCAAGTCTGCTCTGGATAAAACGGTCACAGCAGCCACAAAGAAGAGATTACTTACCTGACTGCAGTAAGGATGAGCAAAGAGCAAAATCACTTCCGAAGTCCCCGGCTGCCTAGCACTTGATTCAGCCCACGCACCTGAGGCTACACTTCATTCACTTGACAAATACTGAGTACCACCACATACCAAGCACGGTGCCAGGCACTCACGAAGAAAAGGTAAGAAAAGGAGACATGAATGGTCCTGCCCTCAGGGAGCTTACAGTTTAGGGGGGAACACAGACTTTAAGGAAATATTCATGGAGATAAATGTACACATGCTAGAAACAGGTACACGGTGCCACACAGCTTGAAAAATAGTTAAGAAAGTCAGGACAGTCTTCCCTTAGAGAAGTGACACTTGAGCTGGGAGTGAGGATGAGTTCCTGGCACAGAGAACAGCACATACTAAGGCCCTCAGGCAGGACGAAATATGGTGACTGTGTACGTGAGATTCTATGAAGCTGTGTGTGCCTGGGCTCCTTGATCTCTCTGCAAAACAGTAACAGAATCTAGCCTGTGATGCCACTTAAGTGTCCCATAAATAAATGAAAGGATTGCTTCACACCAAAAACAAAATCTTAGAGGCTTATAAGCGCCACCCAAGGTCAGTCCTAAATCATACCTTGGTAAGTGACACACTTATTTTGGGGCTCCGAGAAAATAGTGTATTCACACATACTTTCAAGTTTAGCAGGTTCTGGAATTTGGGTCTCAGCTGAGGAAGGCCAGCGAGGACAATCTAAACAAGAACCTGGCTGCAGATTGGGCGGAGAATAAACTGCAGGCCCCTGTATGGGTTTGGGGCTTTAGCCGAAGAACTACAGAAAGCCACTTAGAATGTTGCGGTGGGTTTTCCTGGAGCGGTGGGAGGGGGCCGAACCGGCGGAGTAGACTTCTGAAAAATATCTGTGGCTGCAATGTGTAAAAGACTCCAGTGGAACCCGAGCTAGGCACTTTTATCATCTCCAGTTTCTGCTTACAGACCCTCAGGTGCTGGCGGTCGCTGCTCCGAGCGGCTCAGTCACACGGTTCTGGCGGCCAGAAAGTTTTTTCCCCACACATAAAGCAAACTGGGGTCGCGTGTGCTTCTCACCTCGTCGACGCTCTCGTCGTCTTCATCCTCTTCTTCGTCACTGTCTCCATCGTCTTCGTCCTCATCCTCCATTTCATCTTCCTCTTCTTCCTCGTCGCGCTGGTCCGGGACGCCTGAAGGCTGCGGAGCCCCACTACCCACCGCACGCCGCTTGGGCCTGGACGCCATGTTGCCGCCCTCACTGCGCCTGCGCAAGTCCCACCAGCCCTCCCTTCCGGACCCACCCACACAAGCCGAGGCGGGGTGAGAGAAGACGGACATCCTCGGCGCTGAGCCGGGGTCAACCCCAGGGCCCCCGGTGGATTCCACGGCCATGATCTCTAGGGGTCGAGTCAAGTTTGAGGTCCTATTTTGGCATTTTCTTCCCCCCTCCGTCCTCCTTCAGTCCCTCCGACGCTCCTCCTCCCCTTCGCTCAGTGGTTCGACCCATCTCGGCCCACCCTCCCTGGGCCAGGGTGTCTGTGCGCATGCGCGCGCTCCAGCTGTGAGCGGCTCCGGCTGCGGGATCCCCGGCCTCCGTGCCGCTGCCGCGCGGCCACTCACCAGCTGTCTCCATGGCAGCAGAGGCCACGTGGTGAGGGGGCCGCCCACCGGCTCCTCTCTCAGGTGGCTGCACCGCAGGCTCGTTGGCACCGTGAGATACCGCCCCCGACAGGGCGCCCTCCGAGTGCTGGGCCCTGTCCCAGCGCCTAGCCTTTCGGGCCTCCGCAGCCCAGCGAGGTAGGTGTCGCCGCCCACGGTGCCGACGATGACACCGAGGCCCGCGGACGCGCAAGGCCAGCCTGCGGCGCTAGCTAGAGCGTGACGAGTGGGGAGCCGAACCCCGAGGCCGCTGCTGGCCTGGGCGGGGGCCCTGGCGCGGGGGCAGCGATCGACCCCGAATGGAAGGTCGCCGGGCACGCGCAGGTGCCTGCAGGGCCGGGCTCAGGGCCCCCAGCACCGTCGGTGGCACGGCCTGGCCCGCGGCTGAATGAATCTCCTCCGAAGCCCTGCCCTAACCGACGCTCTTTAAGCGCATTTCTTGACCTGAAAGGTTCTTTAAGATAGGGGTTAACCTTAAATGCTTCAAGTCCAGTGGGGAAATCGGAACTACAGAGCAGAGCCTGCTTGGAGAGGATAGAGTGGAGTGGGCTGTGGTCAGCTAGAGAGTGCAGCCAGTTGTGGCCGAGGGGACATGCTGGCCTAGTGCCCTCAGACCTTTACATTCAAGAGAACCTGGAGTTGCACAAGATCGATCCTGATTTTTAACATCTGTGCCAAATAAAATTCAGTCCCCAGTCAGCTTTATCCCACGGGCTACCAGTATGCAGCCATTCATTGTAAAGACTATTTGGAAAGAAAGTCCTTAATTAAAGAAGACATCAACTATCTGAGAAGGAGGTCTATGGTTTAACTTTTTTTTCCCCTCTGTAAAATGAGAAAAGTGGGTTGGATACCTCTGATTCTAAAAACGGAAGGAGCTGCCCTGCGTAGTGAAGTGGCGGCAGCCCAGAGGTTTAAGCAGAAACCTGATAACCTCTTCTCAGTGACCCTTCAGCAGCAGGAAATGGAGTCAGGGTAAGGTAAGGGTCCCCGGAGGCGCCATGATTGTGTTCTGTGGGTTCCGTCCTTCCTGAGAGTCTCCGCTAGCAGGCCGCAGCCTGGATATTGATAGGCATGCATATCAGGGATTCACATCTGATGGGGTAGCTCTCCTGCTCATACCCCTGCCTGTCTCCTGTTCCTGGTTTCCTCCCATTCTTGCTGCAAGGCAGGTAACAGGAGTTTCTCCAAGCAGGGAGCTTTCAACGTGGTCCCAGCCTATCAACAGAGTTGCACTCAGACATCATAGATAATTTTTTCTGTTTCTTTATACTTTCTTGTAGTAAAACATACACAACACAATTTACCATTTTAATCATTTCTAAGTATTAGGTTTAGTGGCATAAGTTTATTCATTTGTTGTGCAACAGCCACCACCATCCATCCCCAGACCTTCGTCTTGCAAAACTAAAACTCGACCCGGTAAACAATAACTCCCCATTTCCCCCTTGCCCAGGCCCTGGAAACCATGATTCTGTTCTCCATCTCTATGAATTTGACTACTCTAGGGGAATCCTATAATTTTTGTCTTGCGATTGCTTATTTCACTTAGCATAAAGTCCTCAAGGTTCATCCATGTTGTAGCATGTATCAGAATTTCCTTTTTAAGGCTGAATGATATTCCGTTGTATGTATATATCACATTTTGTCTATCCATTCGTCCATCGGTGGACACTTGGGTTGCCTCTACCTTTTGACTATTATGAATAACACTGCTGTGAACTTGGATGCACAAATACCTGTTTAAGTCTGTGCTTTTAAATTTTGGGGTGTGTATACCCAGAAGTGGAACCGTTGGATCATATGGTAATTCTTTCTGTGTTTACTGTTTTTTGAAGTACTATACTTTTTTGTAGTTTGTTTTTGAAGAACTATACTTTTTTGTAGTTTGCACATTTTCCGGGGAGCTTGTATTGCTTTGATAGGAGATCGGGGAAAAGCCTTACTTTGTGTCCTCAGACTAGCTTCCAGCATTGAGCGAATGGTCAGAGTGGGAAGTAGCACGGAGTATCTGACAGGAGCTGAGAAGTGATGGGAGTGCTTAGGGAATGGGCATGGGCTTCAGACGGGGATTGAATCCTACCCCTCCACTCACTGTGCTGCTGTGTGACCTTGGGCACCTTGCTCAACCCTTCAGAGTTTTGGTTTCCACTTCTGTGAAGTAAGGATACTAATACCTACCCTTGCTAGTTTAAATGAGGATTGAGATCCTGCAATGTAAATTGTTTAGCCCCGTAAATAACAGAGTAAGTAAGCGCTCACTAAAAGGGCAGCTCTAACTGCTGGGAGATCAGCAGGACACGGTTGGCAAGTGTGAGTCTTCCCAGCGAGGTAGTCTTCATCAGATCATTTCCCTGTTTCTTTAAGGAAAAGAGATCAGTTCCCCTGTTCCAGAGATGCTGGGTACACCTAAAGTGTTGTTTTCCCTCAGCGTGAACAAATATTTACTGAGCAGCTACTGTGCGGAAGAAAGTCCTGCAAAACAGCCAGCAGTGCAGAGGACCAGCCCATTTCACAATCGCAGGGACTGAGATGAAGAGCAGAGCAGCCTAGACCAGAACACAGGCTTTTGCCGTCTAGTGCAGGCTCCTTGCCCTCCGCTGCACCTCTTTCCAAAGTCCAAAGTGGCTCATGTACAATCCTCCTTTAAAAACCTGCTCATACCCCTGCCTGTCTCCTGTTCCTGGTTTCCTCCCATTCTTGCTGCAAGGCAGGTAACAGGAGTTTCTCCAAGCAGGGAGCTTTCAACGTGGTCCCGGAGAAATGCAGGCATAGATCTGTGTACACCATGGGTGGGGCTGCAGCTTGAATGAGGCTATATTAGCCCCCCAGGCTGCCGTGTCTAAGTGCCACACGCTGGGTGCTGTATACAGCAGAAATGTATTGTCTCACAGGCTAGAATTCTAAGATCAACATGTCAGTAGGGTTGGTTCCTTCTGAGGGCTTGAGGGGAAATCCGTTCTGTGCCTCTCCCCCAGCTTCTGGTGGTTCGCTGGCCATCTCTGACGTCCCTTGGCTTATTAACATATCACCCAGCTCTCTGCCTTCATCTTCACATGTTTTCCCTGAGTGTGTGTCTGTCCACATTTCCCCTTTTTATAAGGACACCAGTCATACCGGATTCGGGCCCACCCTAAACGACCTCATTTTAACTTGACTACATCTGCAAAGACCCTATTTCCAAATAAGGTCACATTCTGAGAGTTCAGACTTTAACACATACATTTTGGATTCAGTCCATAACAGGCCAAGTGCACGGATCTGCCATATAGCAGATCTTGCTCTTCATAGCAAGCGATGGGATGATTGGTATTTGAACTTCTTGATGGGAACAACTAAAGGAGTTCTGGGTGGAGATACACATTGGACAAAGCCACATTGCTGAGAAAGGGGTTGTTCACTTTTGGAGAACCCTCTTGCCTGCCCCAATCCCTAGAATATTCTGGGTTCCAGTCAACAAAAGCTGGCTTTTGTTGTTTCAGCTGGCTTTACTCATCTTTGACCAATTCCGCATAAATCAGCTGCTGAACTCACTTACTAATCTTGCCAGACCTTATATCCATAGTAGCTGGGATGTGCACATATCACCCTAAATCATCTCCCACAGCAGAGTATGAATTCTGAATCAGAGGAGCCCTAGGCCCAGATGCAGACTTTTAAAGCCTTTATTCTGAATCATGGCAGTCTGTAGTAACAGTACTTTGTCTCTCTCTCTCAACACTTAGCTCACAGTTCTGTGGTTGTCGCTCTCCCCCCAACCAGCCGTGGAGCATCTTGAGAGTGGGTGCTAAATGTTATTTGCCCCTTGCCCACCACCCAATACTCAGCATCACACAGAAGAGACTCAGTGTTTCTTGGTAAATGAAAACAGGATTGCGGAAACCCTTATGTGCCTAATTGAGAGCCAACTTCCGGGCCTGGAAGGCCGGCTGGTGCTTAGTTCTCCTTGTTGCTAAAATTCAGGAGCTTCTGCAAGGTGGGCAAGGCAGAACAAGGTACACCAGGAGCTTCAAGGAGTAAGTCATGCCAAAGAACCTTGCTCGGTTGCTCCCCAAGTGCACTGCATGGCATTCTTTGACTTGCTGATCATCTGGAACTCACCTCTCAGTGCCTACCTTGGCTCTGGTATCTCCCATATGTATGTACTGGGGAGTGGGAAGGTGCCTCTGGAACCTCTCTCGACCCCACTGCCTCCCACGCCAGTTACGGCCTCGTTTCTCCTCTTCATAGCAAAACTGAGATATCTCCACCTCTTGTACCTACATCTTTACCCCGCTTTATTCTGTAACTTACTCTGTTATGGACTGAATTGTGTTCCTCCAATTCATATGCTAAAGCCCTAATCCCCAATGTGAACTTTATTTGGATATAGAGCCTTTGAAGAGGTAATGAAGAGTGGTGCCTGGCTGGCTCAGTTGGTAGAGCATGTGACTCTTGATCTCAGGGTCCTGAGTTCAAGCCTCATGTTGGACATGGCACCTACCCAAAAAAAAAAGAGAGAAAAAGAAAAAAGCCTTATTGCTATACGCATTAGGTGGAGCCCTAATCCTCTAGGTCTGGTGTCCTTAGAAGAAGAGGAAGACACCAGAGGTTTCTCTGCACAAACACAGAGGAGAGGCCATGCGAGCACACAGCAAGAAGACAGTAGTCTGGAAGCCAGGAAGAGAGCTCTCACCAGGAACCAACCATGATGGCACCTTGACCTTGGACTTCCAGCCCCCGGAACTGTGAGAAAATGAATGTCTACTGTGGAAGCCCCCATTCTGTGGAATTCTGTTATGGCGTGACTAAGATAAAAAGTATCACTCCGGTACAAAGGGCTTAGTTTAATAATGCAAACACTTGAAAGCAAAACCAATCTACCCACTGCAGATAGAGAAAATGTTTCTTCTGGGTTCTACTCTGTGGTTGTCTTAGATAATAAAATTGACGGCTTCCGGATAATAACTGTTAAGAGATTCCATGAGATGTGCTGCTGGACTTGACAAATAAAAATCAGACTACCACCCTTATTCCTTCTCTGCCATGGCTCAAAGCACCTCTAATGCAAAATTAAGAGGAACCATTGCTGGTGACTCTTTTCCCTGCTAGAGCCCCATGTCATCAAGTTCAGTGAGAAAGAAATCACCTGATAAGTGCACAAAGATAGTCATGCTCACACATTACTAATTTTCTTAGTAATTGAAGATTTAAAGTTAATAATGTTTTTAGAATTGATTCCCCCTAATTGACAGGTACTGTTCACTGTACTATTAGCACATTCAGCCCAGGGCAGAATCCAAGGGCTCCGAGAAAGGTCTACAGGTGATGGGGGGGGTGTGCGGTTTGGTGTGGGGAGTCCCAAAAGGTTCTGCAGAGCCAAAGGGTCTGCAGCAAAGGCCCAGGGACTAGGCGACGGACCCTGCTCTTAGCAGAGGAAATACTCACCGGGGGAGGACTGGCTCATGGGACAGCCAAGGTACATGTGTTTCTAAAGGCACATACATGGATGACATCAGCCAGCCACCCTGTGAGTGAGGAATGACTTCTGTCCCAATGGCTTTCTCCAGTCACAGGAGTTTAGACAGTGGCATTACTGCAGCTTCTCACAGACCAAGAAAAGGTCCAGAACATTCCCATCCACAACCCAGCCAGCAGGGAGGCAGCGGGGAAGAGTAGGCGCATGGCACTTCCCTCTCAGGGCAGGCCCCACAAAGTGTGCACATCACTCCCACTAACATCCTGTGGGCCAGAGCTAGTCCCCTGGCCACATGCGGCACTTGTTTTTATTTTGGGCAAATGTGTGCCTTGTTACTAACGAGGGATTCCATTTCTGTGAGTGAGAAAGGAAGGGTGGGTGTTTGGGGGCAACGGGCAACCTCTGCCCCCCACTCCCCGCCCGTCCAGGTAAGACCTCCAGTTATGCTTCCAGAGCATCTTCACTTGTTTTCATAGCACTTACCACACCGACTCTGTCATTGTTTTTACTTATTTGTGAAGTGTCTATTTTACCCTCCCGTAAATCCGAGGCAGGAATCCTATTGTATCCCCAGTGCCTGGGACTCAGTAACGGTCTAGAAATACTTGTTTTTGTTTTTGTTTTTTTTAAAGATTTTATTTATTTATTTGACAGAGAGAGACACAGCGAGAGAGGGAACACAAGCAGGGGGAGTGGGAGAGGGAGAAGCAGGCTCCCCGCTGAGCAGGGAGCCCGATGCGGGACTCGATCCCAGGACTCTGGGATCATGACCTGAGCTGAAGGCAGTCGCTTAACCAACTGAGCCACCCAGGCGCCCTAAATAAAATAAATCTTTTTTTTTTTTTTAAAGATTTTATTTATTTATTTGAGAGAGAGAGAATGAGAGAGAGCATGAGAGGGAGGAGGGTCAGAGGGAGAAGCAGACTCCCCGCCGAGCAGGGAGCCCGATGCGGGACTCGATCCCGGGACTCCAGGATCATGACCTGAGCCGAAGGCAGTCGCTTAACCAACTGAGCCACCCAGGCGCCCTAGAAATACTTGTTAACTCACTGATAGGATTACACCGAATAAACCCCAAGTTTAGGTGGGATTCGAAGAAGAAAGACATTTTCACCTAGTCCCAAGCGTCAGGCCATGGACACAGATGGTTTCATCCTGAATTACACCGTGTCCTGTTAACCTTGTCGGTGTGACTCCCTGATCCAGCCCCTTCCTAACGGCTCCCCTGCCTGTTCATCCTCACCACAGCAGCCAGAGACCGTTCTCAAGCATGTACACCTTCGCTGCCAGTCCTGCTTACACCTGTCCGTGGATTCCCATTTCTCATGGTGTCCAAGTCCACCTGCCCTTCCCACTGGAGCCATGCGTACCCCTCTCTCCTGGGAACGTGCTCAGCCCTTTCCTGACATTTGAACATTTCTCCTCGCTGCTGTTGTCATTCAGATCTCAACTAAGATGCCACCTTCTCAGAGAGGTGGCCCTGGACTGGCAACCAGCTATCAGCACCCAGTTATCTCTCCCACATCACCTCCTAGCACTTGGTAGGACTTGAACTTGTGCCCCGCCCCCAGTACATAATGCAGACCTAATCTCCCCCAGGCAGATTCCAGGTGTCACTGCCTGAGAACAGCATAGAAACACTTGGGAGACACTGGCTTCTGGGATTTGAAAGCAGTACTAACCTATCCTTTGAAATCTTGGAGATACGCATCCCAGAACCTTGAACCATGGCTGGGCCAAGGTGGGGCTGAGGTCTGAGGCCCGGGACCAACTGCTTCCAACATGCTCCCACCTTTTAATCCCCACAATCCTGGCTTGTTTTGTAGGCCTGGAAACATTTATGTGTTAACAGAAAATGCTAAGTTTTACCTGCCACTCATCTCAGCCCCTTCTGGGGCTCTCGGGATCAGTCAGGGTTCAACCAAAGAAACAGAGCTGGTGGGGGATATGGATTAGGACCTGCTGCAAGGCACTGCCTGGTGCAACTATGGGGGCTCCTGGGCAAGTCTGAGACCCCGAGTGCAAGCTGAGTGCAAGCCGCTGAGAAGGCGGGGCGGCCCGGGCAGCAGAGGAGGCTGTGGCCACAGCTGGAATTTCTTCCTCGGGGAAGCCAGGGTCCTGCTCTTAAAGCCACTCACTGGAGGAGGCCCACCCAGATTATCTAGGATAATCTCCCTGGCGAAAAGCCACCCAATGATAGACTTTATCCTCTCTCCAAAATACCTTCACAGCACCATTTGTGAAGAAATGGGGACTGGAGCCTTGCCGGGTTGACTGACAGCTGTGCGTGCCCAGCTCAGAAAGGCTTGTTCCTAATTTCCGTGTGAGACACATTCCAAGTAATTTCAGGAAATGATAGGAACAATACTGCCCACTTCCCCAAAGCCCCAGTCTCTCTGGCTCACAGCTCGACAGCAGCAGTAATTAGAACTTGATTTCATGATTATTATTTGTTCACCCAGGGCTGGTTGCTTAGATACAAAGCAGTTCATTTTGAGCCAAATTTTCCTAAGACGTCCCGTAGATATTATAATGTTCCAGAAACCTATTCAGTAATAACTCACAAGTAATGGCTCCCAGAGTTAACACATTTCTGCTCCAAACAATACACGCTGTTTGACTATTACCAACCACTGTATAATATTTAGTAAGTAACTAGGTGGTGGGCCTAATGCTATTTACAGGATAGTAATACACATTTCAGGCAGAGTTTATTCTGCAGGTCTCTAGCAACATTTATTTTGAGGCCTTTGGGGTGGTCATATTAAATTCCTCCCCCCCAGTACAAAATAATTTAATGTTTATTGTAAAAAAAATGTGGATAATACACAAAGAGGTAAACAAGAAAATAATCACCCTAACCTGCCACCCAGAAATAATAATTAGTAGTATTCTGGTGCATATTCTTTCATACATATGCATATATAAAATTTATAAAACCATACCATACATGCATCTTACTTTTTTAACTTAACATTTTGTGATTAAATAATCCATGTAATTAAGTTATTAATGAATATTTTAATGATTTCATATAACTGTACCATTCTCTCACTGTTGGACATTTACTTTGTTTCCCACTATAAATACCAGGATACAATCTTGCAACTAGAAGAGGAGTAAGTCTTGGAAATCTAATACACAACATAGTGATTATAGTCAACAATACTCTTTTACAAACTTCCAAGTTCCTAGGAAAGTTGATCTTAATTGTTCTCACCACAAAAAAGAAATAATTATGAGGCGGTGTGGTAGAGGTGTTAACTGAGCTACTACTGTAGTAATCATACTGCAGTATATAAATGTATGAGATGAACAGCTTAATAGCTGAAACCTACACAGTGCTGTATGTCAAATATACCTCGGTTAAGAAAAAAGAATACCAGGATCCAGGATGAACATCTTTATGTTAGTCTTTGCACACTTTTATGAGTATTGCCTTAGTATTTATTCTTAGAAGTGAAATTATAGAATGAAAGAGTATGAAGTAGGCAAGGCTTTGGAAACATCAACAAATTCTTTTCCAGGTTGTTAGACTAAGTTTTGAAAGAGATCTCATGTTTGACACCATTTATAAAACATCATTTGAGAGGTAGAAGGGTCAATATGATTATTTCCTAAAGAGCTTATGAACTACTTAGTACATTTATCTTGAGACAGAAGTAATTCTTTATTTCCTTAAAATAATTTTGTCTATTTGTTAATGATACAACCCCAAATTTGTATCACTCCTCTTTAGGAGCCTTAAATGTGTGCCCAGGACACGGGCTTTCCCTAATGGCTTTCATCTGCCTTTCCAAGTGATATCAAGTGCCCGCATGCTGTCCCTTGGCCTTATCAGTGACAGGGGCTTCAGAAGGAACAAGCCCATTAACGCTAAGTCATTGTGGGCGAGGGATAGGTCGGTCACCTCAGCGAGCAGTTGATAACTTTCTTCCCGTGCTTCCGTCCCATCCGACATTGCTTAGGAAGAGTCTTTGAGATCTAATTAAGATCCATCCGTCTCCCTGCTCTGTCCCAGCGCCCTGTAAGGACTGCCAGGTGATAATGAAGGTTCTCTTACTGAAAGACGCTAAGGAGGACGACTGTGGCCAAGATCCATACATCAGGGTAAGTTGCCCGAGGCTCCAGGTCCCGCACAGCATGACACTGTCTTACTAGGGAAGCTAAGGGGGTGAGGCGTAGGGGGGTCTGTGAACCCTCCGAGCCACTGACACAGAGTAAGTTGGTACTGTGACGCTTTCCTTATTTTCCAAACAACCCTGGCCAATCCAGAACTATATTCTTGTATTTGCAGGAATTAGGATTATATGGACTTGAAGCCACTCTGATCCCTGTTTTATCATTTGAGTTTTTGTCTCTTCCCAGTTTTTCTGAGAAGGTAAGGTCTGTCAGTGTCTGAGTACCGTAATTGCTGAGTCTCTGTAGAACCCTTGCCAACCCAAGCCGGAAGGATTTCTTCGCTGCTTCCTCATTTTACTACCAATCTTGAAGACAAGGGCAGAGCCGCCTCACCTGGCTCCAGTGGGCGTGGCTATTAGATTGTCCCTGAGCCTCCAGCAGGTCCTCCAGAAAGCCACCCTGAACTGAAGGCGGGGGTGGGGGGGGGTGTCGGGAGAGCGGGTTGCAGGGAGGGCTCTCAGCCGTGCAGGCCCTTCCAGTTCGTCCTCCCATCTACCCACCTGCCCTGACCACGCACTGCACAGGTGTTACTTTGCCATTTTAGGGAGAGGCCCCAGGTTGGGCCACTTGCTCGGCTGAGATCTCCAGCAAGAGGGTTGCTCCCCCACAGCGTCAGGTCTGCCGCCAGGTGTAACCGGGATCAATCTTGCCAGACACGATCTCAGTAAAGCCTTCCAGATGCTTCAGATCAAAGCTTCAGTGCTCAAGCAGCTCTCACCAGCGTGCACCCAGTCCCAGGAGGGGAGCGCCTTCAGGGCATCTCCCCGGAGCTCCTTTCTAGACACATTAGGGAAGAGCCAGGCTGGTTTCATGAACTAGGGTGCCCAGCCCTGCTCCCAGGCTCCAAGCCTCTGTTAGCGCCAGGTTCACCCCTCCTGCTCTTTATGGAAAGCCGGTGTTTTCCTTTTGATTTGGGCCGAATGTTGAATGAGTCATTCAGTAATGTACTTGACAGACACTGATCTGGCATCTGTTACGCCCCTATGCACTGGGCTGTGTGCTGAGGGAATGAGGTAAGAAGGACCCAGACCAGCATGCCCTCCCATAAGCAGCCTGGAAAGGCACTTGAGATCACTTCTTGGACCTCGTGGCCACACAGACTAGAGTTTCCACAGGAGCCTCTCCTGTCACCGCCAGCCAGCGTGTCCCCTGAAGGCTTTTCTGGACTCTGTCTAGCTCACTGTGCTGCAGTGAGTTGGGGCACAAGGCACGTGCTGGAGTCCTGGCCCTGCCACTCGCCGTGGGCAGTTCCTCAGCCTCTCCACGCCTGAGTCTTCATCTTTGAGATAAGAGGAACCCCACCCATCTCCCAGGGAACTTTCAGAGAGTGAGGGACACAATATGTAAAAACAGTAATGTTTGGTAGATGTTATCACTATTATTGTCTTTGAAAATCAAGGCTTCAACATGGATATCGTCCCTTGAAGATTCCAGTGTTTTTTTAAAAGATGTATTTATTTACCATAGAGAGAGAGAGAGAGAGAGAAAACTCGAAGGGCGGGGGCAGAGGGAGAGAGGGAATGTCCAAGCAGACTCCCTTCTGAGCATGGAGCCCGACGCCAGGCTCCATCCCAGGACCCTGGGATCATGACCTGAGCCAAAATCAAGAGAAGGCCGACTGAACCACCAGGCGTCCCTTGGAGATTCCAGTTTTATTACAGATGCAGGTCCAGTCTGCCCTCCCACCTGCACCCCACCCAAGCCCAGGCTGGGTCAGATGGCCCCTCTCTACTCCTGTTACAACTCCCACCCTACAGTGCTCTTTCCTGGCTCTCCCCTTGACTGGGAGCTGCTTGAGGGGAATACCATGAATAGTGACTTCACCTGCATATCCTAAAAGGCCTAGAATAGTTCTAGGCATATAGTAAGCTCCCAGTAGGTGTCGAGTGGAAGAGTGGATGGATGGATGGATAAGTAGATGCATGGATGGATGGAAGGAATTAGTTTTGTGAAGCATTTGGAAATCTGGGAAATGCTGAACTTGGCCATCATGTAAAATGTCTGTTGCTGTTTGGTGCACAGCTGTGTCATCCTGAAGGCTATGGCGGACTCATCTTTACCAGCCCCAGAGCAGTGGAAGCAGTGGACCTGTGTCTGGAGAAAGACAATAAAACGGAAGGTGAGGGGGACTCTGTTGTGAATTCTACTGGACTTTCTTTCCTCTGTTCTGACCAGGGATACCGGATTCCAGAAATGGATTTTTCAGGTTTGAAACATCTCAATGGCTTTTAGCTCAAGAAGGTATTTACGTACCCAGTTACTTCATGTTTGTGTAACCTTTGGAGGAAGCAGAAAATGACCTTTCTCCTTATAAGCTGACTCTTAATGTCCCACACAGAATGACAGGTTAGCCTCATAGCTCTCTGACGGGAGCAGACGCCTAGAGGCGTCATTTCACAGATACTGTCTTGGGAAACAGGAGACAGGGCGGCCCCCAAAGTCCTCAGACCCTGAGGCGTTCATCTGCCAGGTGGTCATCTCTCTCCTCAGTATATATTGGTGGCAGTCTCTTTCCTCAAAGGGATGATGAGAAAATCCAACCACATTGAAAAAATGGCCCATGGCGTGCCAGGCACTTAATGACATGATCATCTCTTAGTCCCTTCTTCCTACCTCCTTCCCTCTCCTTCAAAAACACAGGAACAGAGCCCAGGCTTCAGACTGAACAACCACCTTAGTCTTTCAATCAAATAGCTTTGTAGCTAACATTTATGGAGAGCCTAGTGCATACCAGGCTCTGTTAAATACTTCACATTTGTCATCTCATTTATTCCTGGACACTGACCAGAGGCACATGTACTGTGGTCCTCATTATGTTGGGTGTAGAGATTACTTAAAAAAAATTAAATCTTGAAAAATAAATAAATTAATTAAATAAATAAAAGGAAATCTCCCATGGGAGTGTAAAGGGTAGCATAACACTTAAATGTAAGGGAAAGTTATGCTCCTAATCAGATTTTAGGAAGGGAGAACTCATGTTTCCTTGTCTTCTCAAAAAGTATTGAACACCCAGTGGCCTTAGCATATATCTATGCAACCCATTTTCTCTTTGTATTTCTTTCATCCATAGTTAAAGGTGTCTGTTTTTGCCCTAAGATGGTAATGTTCTCTATTAAATTGTGTTTGCTCATGAACCTGAAAGTTACGATCTTTACTTTGACTTAATGTATACATCCGAGATTATAGTTTCTTGACTGCTTTCAGATTTATGTCCCAAATAAAACCAGGTGTATTGCTTTTTTAGACACTAAGTTGCCCTTTTTAATGACCAGTGACTTTTTCTTTAAAAGTCTAGATTTTTAGGGTCACCTGGCAGGCCCAGTTGGAAGAGCATGTGGCTTTTTTTTTTTTTTAAGATCGTATCTATTTATTTTAGAGGGGGGCAGAGGAAGGGGCAGAGGGAGAGGGAGAGAATTTCAAGCAGACAACCCCATGACCCCCAGATCATGACCCGAGCCAAAACCAAGAGTCGGACGCTTAACCAACTGAGCTACTCAGGTGGCCCAAGTGTGCAACTCTTTTTTTTTACTTTTTTAAGATTTTATTTATTTATTTGACAGAGAGAGACATAGCGAGAGAGGGAACACAAGCAGGGGGAGTGAGAGAGGGAGAAGTAGGCTTCCCGTGGAGCAGGGAGCCCAATGTGGGGCTTGATCCCAGGACCCTGGGATCATGACCTGAGCCACCCAGGTGCCACCCCCCACCCCCCCGAGTGTGCAACTCTCGATCTTGGGGTTGTGAATTTGAGCCCCATGTTGGGTGTAGAGATTACTAAAAAAAAATTTTTTTAAATAAATAAAAGTCTAGATTTTTTTTTTTAAAGATTTTTATTTATTTATTTGAGAGAGAGAATGAGACAGAGAGAGAGAGAGCATGAGAGGGGGGAGGATCAGAGGGAGAAGCAGACTCCCTGCTGAGCAGGGAGTCCGATGTGGGACTCGATCCCGGGACTCCAGGATCATGACCTGAGCCGAAGGCAGTCGCTTAACCAACTCAGCCACCCAGGCGCCTAAAAGTCTAGATTTTTAAACTCTAATGTCACCCTGCAAATTCATTCTTCAAGTTATGTTTGTTTTCTGGTACACACTAAAAATGCTTCTAGTACCAACCATGGAAAAGAGTTAATATTCTAAGCAAGGCATACTGAAACATTTATGAAGTGACTTTTAAAAATTTGCCTGCCGGGGGCGCCTGGGTGGCTCAGTCGTTAAGCGTCTGCCTTCGGCTCAGGTCATGATCCCGGGGTCCTGGGATCGAGCTCCGCATCGGGCTCCCTGTTCCGCGGGAAGCCTGTTTCTCCCTCTCCCCCTGCTTGTGATCCTGCTCTCACTGTGTCTCTCTCTGTCAAATAAATAAATAAAATCTTAAAAAAAAAAAAAAATTTGCCTGCCGAATATGAACAGAATAAAAATGGAATTTTAGTTTGAGATGCTGTTCTTTATACATGGTTATTAATAGTTTGCCTTGTTCACAAGTGTCTTAGGATGAGCAAGGAGCTTTGGGCAACAGTCCAGATGGCCACTGTGGTGTTTGCAGCTCACATTTCATTCCATGTTTTACAGTCTGGAAACATTCTCTGAGGGAAAAATGGAATGCTAAGTCAGTGTATGTGGTCGGAAATGCTACTGCTTCTCTAGGTAAGCAATCAAGGTAAAGATAAAACACCAAAAAAGGACAGTGATGTTGTGATTTGTAGTAAGAAATATGTATTTGTCTTTGTCCCTGTTTCCTGGGACAGAGCTCTTAAAATCCTTGGTATTTGCTAAGTGATAAGAAAGATAAAGTTGCCTATTTTTTTTAAAGATTTATTTATTTATTTTAGAGAGAGAGAGAGCTTTCACTATACCTTAACAGCAGCATTATACATTTAACTAATTATTTGTAAATTTCATAAGCAAAAAAATCATTTTTTAAACTAGTGTTTTTTTAAAAAAACAAACATGGTGAAGTCATTGGGGAATGAAAACCTGGTTTTCTTCTCTCCTGTAGTCTCTGCTACTACTCAGTATATATTCAAAAGTTCTGTTACATTGGTGCCTGGCTGGCTCAGTCAGTAGAGCATGCAACTCTTGGTCTCAGGGTTGTGAGTTCAAAGCCCACGTTGGGCATAGAGATTACTTAAAAATAAAGAAATCTTTAAAAAATAAAAAATAAAACTCTATTGCAAGCTTTGTACCCTTTGGCCCACTAATCCCTTTCCTGATAATCTAGCCAAAGGTAATAATCCAATAGAGGAGAAAAGAAGTGGTTTTTGTTTGTTTTTTTTTAAGATTTTACTTATTTATTTGACAGAGACACAGCGAGAGCAGGAACACAAGCAGGGGGAGTGGGAGAGGGAGAAGCAGGCTCCCCGTGGAGCAGAGAGCCCGATGCGGGGCTCGATCCCAGGACCCTGGGATCATGACCTGAGCCGAAGGCAGACGCTTAATGACTGAGCCACCCAGGTGCCCTGAGAAGTGGTTTTTATATGAGAATGTATATCATAGCATCATTTATAATCATGGAAAAAGGAAAGCCCCCAATAGGGGAATAGTTAAATAAATTAGGATACATCTATGTGATGATTATGTAGCTTCTTCTTTTACATACTTTTTATTTTGAAGGAAATTTACAGAAAACCTATAGTTGTAACACAGAACTCAATCTTTCCTGGACCCTGGAGAGTAAGTTGCCAACGTGATGTCCCATCAACTCCAAATAGATGAGTGTAGGTTCCCTACAAACAAGCACATTTTTCTGTTTAGCTGCAACTATCACACTCAAGAAATTAACATGCATGTATTAGTACCTCTCATTCTCAATAATGTCCGTTGTAGCAGAAGGGTTGAGCTCAGAATCCTGCCTTGCGTCTAGTTGTCATGTCTCGTTAGTTTCCTGCTGGAAAGGGGCCTCCATGTGTCTTTGGCTTTGTGACCTCAACACTTTCGGGGTACAGGCCGGTTGTTTTGTAGATGGTCCCCCAATTTAGGTGTGTCTGATTTTTTCCCTGATTACATTGATTCAGGTTATATATGTCTGGCAGGAATACCACAAGCTTTTCCCCTTGCCTCTTACCCAGCAGTGCATCATTTTGATTTGCCCCATTACTGATAATGTTCCTTGTAATCCCTTGATTAAGGTGATATGAGGCTTCTCCCTGTGAAGCTACCGTTTTTCCCCTTGAAATTAATAATTACTTTGTGCGGAGGTACTTTAAAATTATATGATAACATATTTTTTTTTTTAGATTTTATTTTTTTAAGTAATCTCTACACCCAACGTGGGGCTTGAACTTACAACCCCAAGATCAAGAATCACATGTTCTACCTGCTGAGCCAGCCAGGCGCCCCTGATAATGTATTCTTCATCAGTAGCTGCTGATTTACATCAGTATGGACTCATGGTTTCCTCTTTAATAGGGTACAATCCATTACTAAGTCTATTTATTTTATTGCCCAAATTATCCCTGCTGTGGCCAGGGGCAACCCCTTGAAGGCAACTTCTGTGTCCTTTTGACATGTCTCCATCATTCTTTGAGTACTTCCTTCTTTTCTAATGCAAAAAGATGTTCCAGGTTTGTCCTATACTTTCCCTGTCCCAGCCCTAAAATCAACCATTTTCCTTAAGAAGCCCTGGTTCCTTTTAGTGGAGAGGGCTATTTAGAAGCCATGATGAGGATGCTTAGCGTATTCATTGCCCTTGCACTTCACTGCTCACTGCTCATGGCCCTTTTCAGTACACAGACACGGGGAATACACTCACACACACACACACACACACACATCTTTATTTATATCTACTTGTTTATGTTGAAAACCATGAGTTCATTCCACCACCTCCAGTTATAGTCCAACACAACAGAGTTTCTCTAGGTCTTTCATTTCTGTATTTGTGACTCCCATCTCTGGCAAGGAGAAACCTGGCTCCCAGGTCATACATTTACTCATTTGATCAGTGCTCCTATAAGGAACCAGTCTCCCCTGGCTCTGCCCCCACAGGGATGCCCTCTTCAGCCCATGTGGATTCTGACACCCAACACTGGCCACTCCCCCATGACATTCATGTTACTCTGCCCCACCTAAGGGCCTTTGTGCTGAAATGTTCAAAAGGAGAAGGGGGACAGGAGAGGCTAGGTGGTCTGTTTAAATGATTTTGAAGCATCTTTATAGCGTCGGAAAGATACAATGTAACATTAAGAAAAAAAGCAGGATGAGGCGCCTGGGTCGCTTAGTCGGTTGGGTGTCCAACTCTTGATTTCGGCTCGGGTCGTGATCTCAGGGTTGTGGTATTGAGCCCCTCGTAGAACTCCACAGTCAGCAGGGAGTCTGCTTTTCTCCTTCTCCCTCTCCCCCTCCCCACCCCACTGCTCCCATGTGTGCATGCTTGCTTTCTCTCAAATAAATAAATCTTAAAAAAAAAAAAAGCAGGATGCAATATAGATATATGATACAATTTCAGTTTATTTTAAAAATATAGACACTGTACTAGAGAGCCCTCCCTACCCCCAAAGGAGCCTGAGAGGAGCAGGGACTCACAGAGATACTTGTTGGAGTATGTAATGTTCATAACAGCATCAGTCACAATAGGCAAAAGGTGGAAACAAGCAAAATATCCATGGACAGATAAATGGATAAAATGTGGTATATACGTGAAATAGAGTATCATGCAGACGTAAGAGGGAGGGAAATTCTGACAGAGGCTACAATGTGGAAGAACCTGGAAAACATTATGCTAAGTGAAATGAGCCAGATGCAAAAAAGGTGAACACTGTATAATTCCACTTACCTGCGGCTCCCAGACCAGCCACTCAGAGACTGAAGGTATGGGAGAGGTTTGCAGGGTCTGGGGTCGGGGGGGAAATGGGAAGTTCTTGTTTAGTCTGGTGTAGAGTTTCCGTTTGGGATGATGAAAAAGTCTTGGAAGTGGATACTGGTGATGGTCATGATGGTACCAAATGTCACTGAGTTATACACTTAAAAATAGTTAAAATGGTAAATTTTTATGGTATGTGTTTTTACTACAAGAACAAAACCTGAAAGGAAATAACCCTATGAAAGGTACTCCAGATGGTGGTATTATAGTTGTTTTTACAATTTTCTTAGTATTTTCTACATTTTCCAAACAGTCTTGAATTTGTATGTTATTTTTAAAGCACAAAGGTAAACAGTGAATCATTAAAAATCAACCTTACAAACGAACATAAAAATTAAGCATGAAACAATACTTAACAATTGTGAGTCAATTGTGAGGCCATCAATGGGCAGTTTGTTTCAAAATGATTGTCCAAATGAATTTTAAGATATCAGGGGAAGATGCAGTATGAATGAAAGTGTTCTTTTTTTTAAAGATTGTATTTATTTATTTGAGAGAGAGCGAGCACAAGCAGAGGAGGGGCAGAGGAAGAGGAAGCAGGCTCTGCACTGAGCGGGGGGCTCTATGTGGGGTTCAGTCTCAGGACTGGGTTCATGACCTGAGCCGAAGGCAGACGCTTAACGACTGAGCCACCAGGCGCCCCAGGATGAGTGAGAGTAGTTTAAGAATGAAAAGCGCTCTTTCCAGAGAACAAAATGACGTCAAGGAGTTCCCCAGCTGCGGGTTGCTGACTAATTAAGAGCTGGTGCATCGTTTTCCAGCGCAGAGCAACTTGCACCTGGGAGCTCTGCAGATGAGCAAAGAGGGAATCAGGCCTTGGTTGCCAAGGAAACTGCCCCCACTCCCCCCTCCCCCCCAAATCAGTTAAGAATTTGCCCGCACCTTCTTGCACCATTTCTTTTTTTCTGAAGTAGAAGAGGAAAGAAAAGTCTAGAGAGCAACACTTCAGCTATCAAACATGGCATGTTTGTAAATTATCCCATTTTGATTCTCATGCTACCTTCGGTCTGATCTCAGCGGCACCACTACGCATTTTGCATCTCATTGTTCCGTCAAGTGAGAAGAAAACCCGAGAGCAAAAGTGGTGATACGGGATGAGAAACCCGAGACAGAGCGGGCTAGTGTGGGCCAGCATTCCCTGTGGCACAGAGCCTGGTCCCACGGGACCTGTTTGTACCGCTGTGAAGGAAAAGGACATGTTCTAAATGCTGGGAGCACATGATCAAAGGAGAGATGAAATTAGGGATTTTGCTCCTTTAAAAAGTCTCTTGGGAGAGGAGCACCTGGCTGGCTCAGCTGGGCCCCACACTGGGTGTAGAGATTACTTAAAAAAAAAGAGAAGAAAAGAAATCTCTTAGGAGAAACCACATTCTATCTTAACATGAAAGTCAGTCACCCAACTTTGGAACCTTCTATCTTAGTTCACCTTCCCAGACATGATGTCCCAGAGGAGCTCTCTCTAGTGAACTGCTGGACGCTTCTGTTCATCCCGAGGCTCAGCAAGAGCCTGGAGAGTTAGAGGAAGTTGAACACGGACAGCCGGGGGAGACCAGGCCCGTGTGTTAGTCATCTTTTGCTGTGTAACGAATTGCCCCAAAACTTAGTGGCTGGAAACAATAAGCGTTTAATTTCTCATGGTTTCTGTGAGTCCGACATCTGGGAATGGCTGAGTTGGGTCCGTCTGGCTCGGGGTCTCTCACCAGGCTGTAGGTATCTCAAGGCCTGACTTGGGGGTCCTGCTTCCAGATCACGCACATGCCTCCACTTCCCAGCCCTCACGTGGCCCTCTCTAAGGGCTATGTTATGACACGACAGCAGGATTTCCCTCTTGCGTGCGAGACAATCCAAGAGCCAGCGAAAGAGAGCATCCAGGCCAGAAGCCAGTCTTTTCATAATCTAATCTTGGGAGTGACATCCCATCACTTCTGCCATCTTCTTTTTGTTTGAATGGAGTCAGTCCAGGCCACACTCAAGAGGAGGGATGTCAAGGTGGTGTGAGCACCGAGATCACTGGGAGCCATTTTACAGGAGCCCTCTGGTCAAATTGAGCACGAGAACTGCCTCTGCTTCCCCCAGAAGCTGCAGGTCAGGTCAGGAGAATGGAACATTTTAAGCAAAGAGAAGATAGAAATGTTTCGCATAGTGGAAATGGAAACCGGGCCCAAGCAAGTGGTCTTGATGTCAAAGTCCATCAGGACTTATTTATCTTAGAGAGACAGAGAGAGCGAGTGCACAAGAGAGAGCGAGTGGACGGTGGGGCAGAGGAAGAGAATCCTGAAGCAGACTCCTCGCTGAGCGTGGAGTCCGACCCAGGGTTTGATCCCAGGACCCATGAGCCAAAGACAAGAGTTGGATGCTCGACTGACTGAGCCACCCAGGCACCCCATAAACCATATCTGGCTTTTTAGTGTTTTTCATTGCTTCGTTTTCCCATTAATTTTGGGACAATACTGAAATCATCTATATCTATAACCTTAATATGTCTTCACATCCCATTTGTTGATTCTTACTGATTTGCTTATGCACTAAGCATTTTTTTTAAGATTTTTATTTATTTGTCAGAGAGAGAGAGAGCACAAGCAGGGAGAGCAGGAGAGGGAGAAGCAGACTCCCCACTGAGCAGGGAGCCCGATGTGGGACTCAATCCCAGGACCCTGGGATCATGACCTGAGCTGAAGGCAGACGCTTCACTGACTGAGCCACCCAGGCATCCTGCACTAAGAATTTTATCTCACCTTCAGATAACCACAGGGTACCTTTGCACATAGGCATCCACCAGCAGGGGAGCTCACCCCCAGGTTTACACGAGCCCTCCGACTGGATCCACCATGGCAGTCCTAGCCTTAACTTCTTAAATGTAAAGAACACGATGGCAGGTTTGTCTGGGGTCAGGCTGGTTCGTTTCACACAGCTGTGAGTCACTTGAAGGTCCCCTGTCATCATGGCCTGGGGAGGCCCCAAAGGCGGGCTTGCCTGGGCCCGACGGCTGGCTGAAATGCTTGCACCCACTTAGAGCAGAGCCAGCCTTGCCGCCAAGGGGTTGAGACCTTCCGGCAAACATCCATTGCCCTGATCTCTACAGAGAGCCTCTGCGGGCTGCCGGCGGGCCCCACGGCCCAGTCCCTGCCCTCTCAGGCAGAGCTGACAGGCACTGGACGGCTCAGGGCCTCCGATTCCTGCTCTCAGGAGCCCTCGTCCCAGGGTCGTGCGAGGACGAAGTAATGCGCCAGTGCTCACTCGGAACAGCGAGGCCGCACGTGAGAGTCTGCATGGGCTTCCTCCCGTCTAGTTAACGCAGGAGCGATGCGGATGAGCGCCAACGTTAGATACCAACATCACTGCGGTACTCACGTCCCAGTTCCGTTCCTGGGAAGTCATCAGGGTCTTGGTGCACCGAGACCTTCCCAGTTCAGTCAGAGGACGGGCGACCTGGCCTGGGCTGGCCATGCAGCGGAACAAGGGCTTTGTTCCGGAACAAAGTTGACAGCTGCATGTGACTTTTGTCTCTTGGGCTCAGGACCCTTGAAATGACCTGTCAGTGAAGAGCTGATGGTGTGGATGTGAAAGCTGCAGTTTGTTCTTAGCCAGCGCTCTCACGTGAATCCGAAATGGAAGGGCCACAGCTCCTCCTCCGTCAGGGAGGTGCCACACCCCGGGCGCAGGTGCTGAGCGCTGATGGCGCGGGGCCCGTGGCCCTTCCTCCCCAGCGTCCTCTGCACAGTGGCCAGTGTTTCCCGTGTGGAAGAGTGCAGGGGGGCCCGGGGAGGGGGGGCCTGCTCCTGCCTCACTTCTTGAGGAGTCTCTCAAAGCTGCTGGTCTGCCCCTCGCCCCAGATGACCTGTAGTTGCGGTACTGGGGGTCGCTGTTGGCAGGTTGCCGGGGAACCACTCCTGCCCTCCCTGCCATTTCAGTCTGGCCACGTCAGCCCACAACCCCCTTCTGGATGGGCGCTGGCCTTGGCCTCCCGGCAGGACGAGGGCTCTCTCATGCCCTGTGAGAAGTAGTAAATCCTAAATGCTCACCACCTCCGTACTGGCTGGTAAGAAACCGCCTTTCTTCAGCTCCCCTAGGGGGCCCGCGGTTTGCTCTCATCATCTCGTATAATCCTTAAAGCAGTCCCCGGTGGTGGCGTCTTCCCCTAGTGCAGCCGAGCTCAGTGGGGCTCAGAGAAACTGGCACGTGACCCAAAGCCACACGTCTAGGAAGGGTGGGCCCGGGGCCCAGCACCCTCACGTCCGACACAGTGCCGGCCGCCCCCTGCACCTGCCTTCAGGAGGAGACGTTCCTTTGTATTTGCACATTAGCAAACAACCCAAGAACAGAGGTCTTTAATAGCCACGTGAAAACATATTTCTTTTGTTGTTTTCCAGTGAATAAAATTGGCCTGGATACAGAAGGAGCACACTGCGGAAATGCAGAAAAGCTTGCAGAATATATTTGTTCCCGTAAGTAGAAAAAGGTCACTCCACCTGAAGCCCATTTACTTTTTGTTTGTTGGCCTCACCCCTGACCCCCCGGGACAGGAACATTTCCTGGGCGCGTTCTCCGTGGTGACGCTGGTTGGCGCGCAGCGTGCAGGCCGCTCGTGGGACCGCGGGCTCCTTTCCCGGTGTGTGTCTGTGCTTGTTTGAGATTCAGCCCGCCTCTCTCCGCCCCCTCCACCAGAGGACTTGAGACAACTCCAACATGACACAAAACAAAGCATTCGGAGACAAATCCAGGGAGACTGTCCGCAGTGATGCTACCCGGAGTGGAGGCGGGCTACTGCAGCTGGGCACCTCCCCTGAGTCTGTGTCCCCCCTCTCGGGGGGCCGCCTCCTCTGAGTGCCCTCTCAGGGCTGGCCCACCCCCTGGGAGTGCATCCCTGGGCAGCGTGTGGACCGGGACCTGAGAGGACGCTGGTTGTAGAGGTGTTTGCCTTTCAGTGCGGGTGCGGCCCTGATGGAAACAAAGCTTTGGGGGAGCTCTCGGAGCGAGAGGGGCGGGAAGGCCATCAACACTCAACAGACATGGGTTCCCACTGCTGCTTCTGCCCCCCACAGAGTCTCCAGGGCCAGGCTGGAGGCTGCCTGTGGGCGGTGGAGCAGGGCAGCTGGAGGGAAGGCACTCCCTGCCTTCTGGTCACATCTGCCACTGTATCCCAGCCCGGCTCTTTGCTTTAGTTTGCTCATGTCTCTAAGTTTTGAAAAATGCTCTTCTTCCTAAGGGGGTGTGTTTCAGAGACCCTCCAAAAGCCCCAGGGACAAAGGAGGTGAGCCCTAATCCAGTGACCCTCCGGGCCCCATCCTGGCCAAAGCAGGTGCTGGCCTGGGCTGGAGCAGAGTACCCAGCACTGTGTTCCTATCCCAGGGCAGCACCGCTGGGCCTCCCACCCCGGCTCTTGTGTCCACCACTCCACCTGAACTGCAGGCCTCGGGGGCTGTTCAACAGGACAGTCGCCCGGCCCACGACTCTAGTGGCCGGGTCCATGGCTCCCCAGCTGGCCATCCGGTGCTCCCAGCACATCCTCACCTCCCGCCTCCTGCACAGCTGTCTCTGCTCCTCCCTCCCGTTGGTGCTGCCTACAGAGGCCCTGTCCTTCACGTAGGCTCCTCTGTGACAGGGACGCCATAGGCTGTGGTCCTTCCATGTCCACTGTCCTGGAGACCCTGGCCCTCCTTTGGCCACCCCCACCACACACATGCTGTTTATGCCTCGTCTTGTCGCTGAACCCACTCCTGCCTTGTGGCCCGGCACACAGGTGTTCTCACGCGGTGTTTGCTGAGCGCTGAACTGTTCTGGCGTGACAGGAGGGCATTCGGGGGGCAAGGCGAGAGAGGGCTTGGTCCATGCCAACAGGCCCGGCCAAGCTGAGCGGCCATCTTCTTGAGGATCAGCTCAGACCTGCCAGTCGCTTGATACTGTACGGCCAGGCGTTGAAAGCTGCTGAGAAGCCAAGGGCAATTATGCCGGTGGTCCAGGGGTGAACCCAGCCCTGGGCACCTCAGGGTCCTCAGGCCCATGGGACTGTTCTGAGGGTCACTGAGCCTCACCTCTTCTGGGACGAGAGGAACGTCATGTGATTGGGTTTTTCCCCAGCAGTCTGTGGCATGGGATGCATATGTTCCAGAATGATCCAACGCCAGGCTCTTTATTTCTAATATTTGTAGAGGACAGTGGTCACCATTAAACAGTAACAAAGCCCTTCTGTTTTAATGTGGAAATCAATGTAAATGGTAGAACTTGGCATTCCCCGGGGGATTAAGTGCTTTGGTTTAGGAAGACGAATGACTGGTTCCGTGGGTGGTACCACATTTAGCTCCTTAATGAACAGGTGGCCGCAGCCTGTCTCCAGGGTAGATGACCTGGCTGTACTCACCGCTGACACACTAGTTCTGGAAAGAGATGGAAGGAAATTGAGTCGTTCCTCACTTTCAGGTCCAGAGTCGTCAGGCTGGTGTTCCTTGCTCCGCGTACGTATACAAGGCAGGAAGGATCCATGTCACTTCTGAGATACCACCCTGGTGTTTCAATTAACTGACTCGAGGCGTAGAGGGGAGATGGGAACGGACTCTGCCTTATCTCGGCGAGACGGGGCGGCATTCTTTGCAAAGCCTTTGTTACTTCTCATTTGTTACCAGCACGCCTGTGTGTCCTAATAAATCTTTAATTCGCAATTAGAATATCCACATAGGAATCCTTCTTGACTGCTAATAAGGACTTTCACCTTGGTTTTACCAAGGCATTAATGATTTTCTGCCCCAGCAAGCTCTGAAACTGGATTTTAAAAGCTCAGAATCTACTTCCAGTGTTTGGAGTCAACAGGCCAATTCATAGTTATTGCTTATTTCTTTTACTTAACACTTTTTACTACGTGACAGATACCATCGAGGGCACTTAAAACTATTAACTCATTTAATCTGATAGCCCATTGTTCTGATAGAAAATTCTCCCCTTCCAGGAGATCTGCTCTAATGGAAAAGAAAGCAGCAAATAAATGGTAAAAGGGGGCATTACAGCATTCTGCAAGAGAGGGGTCCGCCTGAGTCAGACAGAGGGGGGTGCAGTTATTTGAAATGTCCCTGGATTGGGGGCTGCCGATGGCCACTCCTGCAGCCTCTTGGACTAGCTCGGCCCTTCCTTCCCTCGCATCCCTGTTGTCCGGATTCTCCACCACGAGAATCTCTGCACGGCCGCATCTCCCAGCTTCGCCTGGGAGGCCGAAATCAGTGCAGACCTGGCAGTTGTCGGAGCTTTCCAGCCACACACGTGTCCTCCAGTGAAAAGGCATTTTTTAAAAAATCAGCCTTGTTACCTTAATTACTACAGTGACTACTTATGGAGTCCCCAGCCCCTCAGCACAACCCTCTCCTGGGATTTTCAGCACCCTTGCTGGCCTCAGCCCCCACAGCCCAGCAGTCCAGGCCTCCTTCCTGTTAAAGAAATGGGCAACCTCTGAGCCCCGTGAGTCCCCATTCTGTGTCTTCTCTGTCGGGTGAGACCCCTGCAGGCCCCTGTCTCCCTGTTGTTCCGGGAACCTCTTACACCTCTGCAGAATCAGCCAGCTTTAGCATTGACCTACTTAGCAGTGGCCTATTTGGGTTAAAAATCCGCAGGCAGTAAACTTATCCCCCAAAAAGAATGGGTTCTTTGCCTCTGACTTCTTGAAGGGGGTGGGTCCCAGGAAGGATAGTTGTGGTACATCTCCACCCAGCAGAAGAGGATTCTAACCAGGACATTTTCAGGTTTTCCTCCCTTTCCTGAGAGTGCCACGGGTTTCCATGACGTCCGCTGGGCTGACTGGGCCTGCATGCAGGGCCTGGCTCTCCAGGCACTGGTGATGCCGTCAGAAAAGACAGGCATCTGTCCTGGACCAGGACACACATACTAAGCTCCCATCCCCCGAGTTAGCGGCCAGCAATCCGAGAATAAGCATGAGCAGCTCAATACTAGGCTAGACCTTCCGAAGAGATGCTTTGAAGGGCAGATTCCGGAATCTTCCGAAGGCCCCTTGCACACCTCTAGGGCTGGGCTTGCTGGAAAGGCAGGCCCTTGGCTTGCCTGCTGCATTCCCGAAGCTGCCCCAGAGCAGATGGCTGGGAGGGTCTGTGGGAGCAGCTTTGGTCTCTAGAATCCTGCACACCCCAGCACCTAACACACATGGACAGACACACAGACCTGGAGGGACGCCTGGGCTCTGGTTAAGAAAGTTGCACCTGAACATGGCTTTGAAAATATGTTTCCAAGGATGGCATCTACAGTGCATGAAACCTTTGCTCCCACTGGAAAAGAGAAATCAGTGGGCATCTATTGTCTACATTTGAATTTTTCCCAATTCCTTGTGTTCTTTTACGTCCGTGCTGATAGTTACAGAGCAGCTTAAATCAAGAACACATTCACCAGGACGTAGTTCTCGAATAACCTGGAAAAAGGAAGTTATTCCTGTGGTTGGTCTGGGCCTTCCGGGAGATGGTGCTAGACGGGAAGTGCTTGCTTTGTTCTTCCTTTGGGGACTGCAATCCCCAAAGAGGTGTTCGGGGAGATCTGACGGGTACAGAAAAATGCGTTTGTGTGTGACCAACAGCCATTAAGACTTCTTCCAACTGATGGATGGACATGGGGGGGGGTGGTTCTATCAGAATGTTCACATTTGGGGAGGATTCGCCCATCGGTTTTGTTAGATGGTAGTGTCTCAGGTTGGTGTTCAGACTGCATGCCATCTTCGTTCTGCAGAGAGCTTGGAGCCGAACGCACCCCAAGGTCTTCCTAGAGTGGGGACGGGGAGCAGGGTGGGAGGCAGGCCATTCTCAGCAGGCCCCTACACGGCCACCCATCCGCCCCGTGGGCACTTGGCCGGGTGGCCGCCGTCCTGAGGGGACAGAAGGCACGCAGCTCGTCTCTGTTGAGGGCGGCCGCAGGGCCACTTGTGGCTGCCATTTCCCTGCCACCTCCTGAGTGTGGGCCCTGGCTCCGGCCACCGCCTGTGGCCTCCAGGGCTCCTCCCGAGGCGCAGCGTGGCTGCAGCAGTGCCTTGTGACTCCAGCCAAGTGCAGAGCCGCCTGCTAGCTCGTGCCCGCAGCCCAGGCGCCGCGTCAGGACCAGAGGGGCTGGAGGGGTCTGGGGGACAGCGGCCCCGGCTTGCGGGGATGCCCGTTTTCTGAGCGCCGTGGCCGAATCCCCTGTGATCTTCCTACAGCAGGGTCAGCTTCTTCCCTCCCACGCACAGCCGCTGGGCGGCCCGGAACTGCTGCTCCCCGTGCCCTGGGCACGTGCACCCCCTTCTTGAAAGCGTTGACAAAGTCTGGTTATTTATCTGCAGGGGAGTCACCAGCATTGCCTCTTCTGTTTCCCTGTGGAACCGTCAAAGGAGAAATCCTGCCGAAAATGCTCAAGGACAGAGGTGACGGCAATGCATTGGCTCGTGGACACAGCCTCCCTGGTCCGCCTCCTCGGGTCTGCCGGGAGCCTTCGTGGTCCGCCGTGCGGAGCCCCCGGGGGAGGGCAGGCCGAGGGAGGGCGGGCGGCCCTCGTGGGGTGCAGTCTACTGTCCTGACCGTAGCCCTGCGCTCGTCTGCCCGCTCGGCTCCGGCTAGGAGCCCGCAGAGTGTCACAGCCTTCGCCAAGGGTGCGGGTGGCGCTGGTGTGGACGGACCCCGGGGCAGGTCCCGGGGCAGAGGAGAGCCTCAGGATGGAGCCCGGTGTTCCCGGTGGAATAAAGCCTATTCCCTGCTTTTGATTGTGTCCAGGGATTCCCATGGAAAGCATAACTGTCTATCAGAAGATCCCACACCCGGGAATCCAAGTGAACCTCAACAGCTACTATTCGAAGCAGGTGGGTGGTGCTTGCAGGAGACTTGGCGGCGGGGAGGCCCAAACCCCTGTGCGTGGTTTCACCATCCCAGCCGCATGACTGCCCAAGGCTCCATCTCTGTATCTGTGAAATGGGAATAGACCTCTCTCGGAAGGTTTTTAGAAGGGTGAAAGGAGAGAAAATGCACAAAGCCCTGTGGATATCACCCCAGACATAGTGAGCCTGGGCAGCAAGGGGCCATGCTGTGACTGTTCGGCATGTGTGGGGCACTGGGGGAGCCCCGGGGCAGAGGCTGGGACGGGAGGCTCGGCCCATACTGGGAAGGCCCACAATACCCACCGAGGAAGCCACAGGGACCTCTGAAGGCTTCGGGCAGGGGGGTGGGTGGCGCCTGTGTGAGTTAAGGTTTTCCACATCTGTATTCAGTGCGACGCCTCCCCCCTCTCCTGGGACAGGCTTCTGAATGCCTTGCTGGTTCTGGACGTCCCCTTAGTGCAAACGAAAACAGAGAGCCACGCAGCCAGTCTGCCTTCTGTCTCCTGAGAAAGGACGCAGAGTTGACAGCCTGGACTGCTGCCTCGCTGATCAGGGCCACTTTGGCCACGTGAGCTAGGGGCAGCGTCTGCTTCGGCTGGGCATGCGGGTCCACAGTGCCCCTGTCCTCTGGCCAGGCAGACACACACCTGTGGGCCGCAGAGCGATGAGGAGCAGCGCCCAGCCTCCCCAGTGGCACCCTGTCCTCTGAACGGTGCCTCGCCTGAACTCGGCCCTGGCCTCAAGGGAGAAGAGAAGGCCACGTCCACCAGGAGCCCTCCTGCTGTGAATCCGTGGGGCTGCCTGGGGGCTGCCTCCTGGGGCTCCAGGGCTGATGGTGCCTGGCTGGGGGAACCAGGGGAACATTCTCTCTCCTTGGCCTGTGGCGACAGACTGATCTTATGCTCTCCCTGCAGGGCGTTCCGGCCAGCATCACATTTTTCAGTCCCTCTGGCCTTACCTACAGCCTCAAGCATATTCAAGAGTTATCTGGCGACAACATTGATCAAATTAAGGTGAGATATTCCGTGGGCTTTTGGTCTTTTAAGGTTTTTAAAAATTCTTACTAATTACCTAGAGTTCCCATGTAAAGTCAAAGCACTCCTGACCAAGCAGACACCCTGATGTCACCTCGTAGCCCTGGAGAGACCAGGCTCGAGAATTCTCCAGCATCACTTCCTGGCTGGTGCTCTCGGACACCTTACTTAACCTCTCTGAGCCTATTTCCTCATTTGTATCATGAGGATGATTATCCCTCTGTGGCTTTTATAGACACGTAGTCACCCATTATTTGCAGGGGATAAGTTCCCAGACCCTCAAGTGGATGTGTGAAAGCACGGCTACTACCCAATCCTGATATAGTGTGTTTTTCCCTACACATACATCCCTGTGATGAAGTTTAATTTCTAAATTAGGCACAGTAAGAGATTAACAACAACAGCTAATAATAAAGCCGTTACAACAATATCCTGTGGTAGCAGTGACGTGAACTCTCTCAAGATATCTTATTGTACTGCACTCACCCTTCTTCCCGTGAGGCTGTGGGATGATAATGTGCCTCCATGACAAGGGGAGGGCAGTGACGTAGGCACGGGACGGCATTCCCACTTGTGAGGGACCACATTTGCTAGGAGTCTATAAGTAACGACGAGGCTTTTGGGGCCTGTAACGGGAAGGCTCTTGAACTGGCTCCAGTGGGACCGAGGAAAGGGTGGAGGCCACCTGGGGCCCCAGGACAGAGGCCACCAGCACCGTGTGCACTCACACAGAGTGCGTGCTCTTAGCTTTTACTACAGGTGCGACTCACGGCACACCTTCGCAGTCCGCACCGGTTCCCAGTTCTGCAGGTGGAGAACTGGGCTCAGAGAAGTAGTGCGTCTTGCCCTAGGCCTCACAGGAGGAAGGGATTTGAACCCAGGAGGACGGATTCTATGTTGTTAGCCGCGGTGATACCTGAGCCGTGGCCAGGTGACGGAGCACTTCCAGGCAGTATCTGGTAGAATTCGCCCACCGGTCCAGGGGTAGGAATCAAGTAAAATCGGGACTACCAGCTACGCAGGAGGGTTCTGCTTCCTGCCCCCCCCTTACCAATACTTGTAAGTTTGGTCTTCACGATCACAGCCGCCCCAGCGGCTGTGGGGGAGTTTTGACTTGGATTGCTCCCGTGACCGATGACGCTGAGCGTCTTTCCCTGTGCGTGTCGGCTGCTTCTGTATCTTCTTCTGAGAGGTGTCTGTTCACGTCCTGGCCGTGTGTCTTGTTGCGGCTGTTGCTGGGCTGTACGGGTTCCTGGATGCAAGTTCCCATCCGATACATTTTCCCCATCCCATGAGCTGTCTTTGCACTTCTGAGACGGTGCCCTTTTAGAGGCACGACGGTTTTTCCGTTTTGGTGAAGACCCACTCATCTATCTTTTCCTTTGCGACTTGTGTCTCAGACACCACTGCCCAATCCCAGGGCATGAAGGGCCCCCCCACGTTTCTTCTGTGTCTACAGTCTCAGCTCTTACATTTAGGTCCGTGATCCACTTTGAGTTCACGTTTGTGCCTGCTCTGAGGTAGGGGTCCGGCACCATCTTTTCCTCAGGGAGTTTCTTGAGGAATGGCTGCGTCTCAGGGTGGAGTGGCGGGGGTGGGGGAGGGCTACAGGAGCTTGGGCTTCCGGGGGGGCAGCAGCCTCTGTCCTGTGGCTCTGACATGCCCCAGAAAGAGGGGCTTCAAGTCTTGAGATAGTTCCCTGCACCACACCCGGCCCAGGGTAAGGGCTGCCATCCTCACAGACCTACTCCCAGGCAGGGGTGCGTGCACCCCAGTGTTGGGGTGGGAGTGACGTGAGTGCTCTCCCTGCCAGAGCAACAGATCTTATTTACCCCCCCACTAGCCCTGCCAAGCAAGGGTAATTGTACCCCTTTTACAGATGAGGAAACAGGACCAGAGGGGCTAAGTGACTTGTGAGGACACCTAGCAAGGGCCGGGGTCACCACAACAAAAAACCACATTCAGCCCCAAGCGAGGCTCTGCATATGACCATCAAACGTGCGATGTTTGGAGAGAGGCATCCGGCTGACGAGCCTCAGGCCGCTGGAGTTTCTCATCTGGAGTAACCGTGTTCCCATCAGTGGCAGCCACTGGTGGCCGCCGACCATTTCTCTGTGCCGGGGCCCCTGGCCACGTGGTTGCTCACACTGCCCCCACGTGACCCTCAGAGCAGCCCAACGGGGAAGGCTGTTCCCCTCTGTTTTACAGATGAAGGGACGGAGGCCCAGAGAGGGAGGGTCACTTGCTAGGGCCACTATCCTGTGGAGCTAGGATGGGAACCTGGCCTCCGGCTCCAGGTCCCGGTCTCGGCTGCTGCGTTTTCCTGGGGAGCGCAGCCGGGGCCCCTGCCACCCCCAGAGCACCTTTCAGACTTTGCTGTCTGCTCCACTTGGCCCCCCACCCAGGGCAGAACTGTGGGCGGCTGAGGCTTATGGAGAGGCAGCCAAGACGGCGGGCACCGGAGCAGGGGCCTGGCGCCCCTGCCCTGCACCCGAGCCGCAGGCCGGCGGGGAGGCTGTAATGAGGTCATGCAGGCAAAGGCATTTTGCGGGTGTAGGGCTGGGTTCACATCGGGAGGGGTGATCACACGTGCTGGGAGCTGCGATGACCTGACGGGCCCAGGCCTTGCCCCCGTCCGCCCAGCCGGCCCCGCAGGTGCGCTGAAGCTCCCTCTCTCTCCCCCTGCAGTTTGCCGCCATCGGCCCCAGCACGGCCCGCGCGCTGACTGCCCAGGGCCTGCCTGTGAGCTGCCTGGCCGAGAGCCCCACACCGCCAGCCCTGGCCAAGGGCCTCCGGTTGGCCCTTCAGGCCCCCCGCTGCTGAGTCGGTGGCCCGTCCCGCTGCTGCTGGTGCAGGGAGGCGAGGCATCGGCGGGGCTCCCCACACCTTTGCCTCATGCCTCCGCGGAACCCCCGGGACACATGGGCCCGGCGAGAGCTCCTCTGGCAGAGGGAAGAAAACCAAATAAACCACCTGGCTCTTCGCGCTGAGTTGTCACTCGCTGTGTATCGTTTTCCACGCAGAGCTGTGTTTGTGGAGGAAAAAGACGTGCCCATGTTCTGAGAACTGCCCAACCCCGTAGGAATGATAAGACCTGCTGTGTAGGAAGTAGCTTTATGCATCCTATAAAAAGGATGTTCAAGTCCCGGCTTTGTGAGCTGTGGACACCTGCCATTCAAATACGGAGAGACTTTCTTTCCTTCAGAAATGAAAGGCAGCTTAGACCAGGCAGGGCGTCTGAGAGGCGGGGAGGCTGGTTTACACAGAAGGGCTTTGCCCGCAGGACGCAGTGCCCTGCAGACAGGCTTGGGGAGGCTGCCCCCAAACTTTCTTTCCGCTTTTAAAATCTTGGCCTGGAGCCTGAGCTGGGTGGAATGAAACCGTGTCCGTCGTTCGGCAGGAAGGAGGACTGTCTGCCCAGCACGAGTGCATTCCCCGGAAGGTGTGTCACGTTGGCAGTCCCCGCGCGCAGTGCTCTGCCTCTCTCCTCCCCGGTCCCCTTAACGCCCTGAGGAGTGGATGCCACTAGGATTCCCGTTTCTCTGGGGAAGACCCTGAGACTCGGGGCATTAAATGCTTTGCTCGGGGTCACCCAGCGAGTGAGTGACCAGCCAGGACGCTCTGAAGGGGACTTGTGAACATAAGCACGGAGGCCCAGACTGATGGCGCTCCTGAGCCACCTCCCCTCCACGTGACCTCAGTACAAAAGTAAGGACCTGGTAATCGTTAGTGACCTGAATGGAAATTCCGCAGGTTCCATGATGGCCCCGTATTTTCTGTCTGTAGTCATGTTTCTGAATATGGGTCAGAATCCATCCCACCGCTTCCTTCTGATCTGAACATCAGGTCTGGATTGATGAGGTGCGTTTAGAATCCCTGCCACTCCCAAGGAGCCTTTTTCTGCCGGCGTTACCTTTCCTGAGCTTGGGGAAGAGCCCGGCCCCAAGCAGCCCCGCAGCCGAGGAGCGCAGAGGCCGCGCCGTGCAGGCCCCCACAAAGCAGGGCCCGCCACGCCGGGGCTGCGTCTCGAGGCCAGCCTCGGGACAGAATGTCGCCACCGGGACCCGGGATGGCTACAGGACCTGCGCTGGCCGAGGCGGTCCCCCAACTGTGTGCCTGCAGGTCAGAGCCCTGCCGGATTGCTCCGGATTATATCCCCCAAACTACCGCTCTCCCTCTGACCCACCTGCTGCCCACTGTCCCCTGTGTGCACACGGCCCCCGGCTGCCATCACCCCCACACTCCTGCCAAGTGGCCACACACGAGCCCCCACGGAGGCATCACCTGGGTGAGGACAGGAACCAGCCCTCCCACAACGGACAGTGCCAGGGTTGTTTGCAGGGAGAGGGAGCGAGTGAACAGCCCCGAGGGTTCGGGAAGCTTGGGGTCGGGGAGCATGGGCCCAGGCGGAGGGGTTGTTGGCATCAAACTCTCAGAGCCCCAGTCTCCCCGACACTAGGGGAGTGACTCCTGCCTTCTGAGTTCCAGTTTGCCCGTCCGTCAGGAGGGGAGGAGCTTCTGCCTCCTGAATGTGTGCACTGCAGCTCAGAAAACTACGTCTGAAGCTACCTCGAGATCTGGATGGAGAGCTTAGGTTGGCGGGTAATAAGCAGTGTGTCACGTATTCTCATAAACAAACAGTACTGCTCAGCATTTCCTGCTCCATCTGAGTTGAGCGGTTTATCTGGTGGAAAGTGTTGCCGGAATGGCAAAGGTGATACTGGGGTCATGGCCCCGACACCTAAAGCGTTCTGGGTACCTGGGGATCAGAGACAGCACGGCACCTGCCCCAAAGGGGCCTGCAAACACCTTGAAAGAACAAAGTCAGGAGGCAACTGAGCTCAGCATAGAGAGTCTGTATTTCACACAACAGGACTGTGGCCAGGAGACGGGGTGGGCAGGGAGGCCACCTGTCTTTGGACGACTGCTGCCAGAGATCCCCTCTCTGAGGTTCTGTCGCGGGGAGCCTGACAGCAGGGAGCTGGAGACAGCAGAGTCTCAGGACAGCCTTCTTCCAAACCAATCACCTGCCTTTTGTGTCGATGCCATTGATTGTCATATGTCCCTTCGGAGATTTTATAATAAGCATTAGATTCGATTTCTTTTCCTTTTTTTTTTTTTAAGTAGGCTCCACGCCCAGCATGGAGCCCAACATGGGGCTCAAACCCATGACCCTGAGATCAAGACCTGAGCTGAGATCAAGAGTCGGACACTCCACCGAATGAGCCACCCGGGTGCCCCCAGATTTCTTTTTTTTTTTTTTTAAGCCCATTTCTTACAACTGCCTGGAGGTTCTCAGCTGGGCAAGCCACACTACTGATTATACAAACCTCTCTGCCCTCCTCCCTTCCCCACTCACTTGAGTGTTCTGGACACCTTGCAGCAAAGACAGAGGACACAGCAAATCAGCAACCATGCAACAAGCAGTAAGCAACAGCCAACAGCAATCATAATTTCCATGTCAATGGCCATTATAATCTTGAAGCGTCTCACACACACCTGGGCAGAGAAGTGCAGGCAAGCAGTGAGCGTGGCCTCCCTCCCCACCCAGCCGCCTCGCCGCCTCAGCGCGCTTCGGTCAGCGGGGGATCCAGGAGCCCCAAGCCACAGAGCCTTCCACGTGTAAGCGTGTGTGAACGCTCCCGGGCAGGCCTAGGAGCCGAGGCTGGCCGTCGGGGAGAAGGGGTTTCTTTGTGGGTGGAAAGCGACTGAAAGGCACAGTCCAGAGAGAAGGAAATCAGAAGGGCAGGCGTGGGAAGAATCTTTTCTCCTCCCTTTCACGGGCAGCAGTGTGCGGCTGTGAGTCACACCCAGGCCTGCATTTGCACAGGTGGTTTCCTAGACACCTGGGCTTCCTGAGATCGATCCCCGTTCGGAGTCAGGACTGACCCCTCCCTGTGCATCAGGCTCAAAAATCTCCCGTGGGAACAATTAAGGGAAAGTCTTTTTCAAAATGTCATGCTGTGTGGTACTGAGAATATGTAAACCCATGTTGCAAATGACATGTACTTCAGGGAAAAAAAAGTTTTCAGGCCTCCCACTGACAAGTGGATCGTGCCATCTCAGCATTTAAGGAGAATCTGGAAGCTTCCAGCCAAACCCTTCCCCCAAGCACAGAGATGAGGAGTGCCCTGTACAGACCAGGAACCAGCTTCTCTGGGAGCCCCTGTCGTTCCTGTCTGTATTGTAGATCACCCGCTTTTCTCTGCCATTTTTCCTCCTAAATCTAACTGATTTCCTTAAAATCCAATTTACCTGGAATGAGCAATTTAATCAGACAGTGGGAACCTTGTGTCGCCAGTCAGGCTACTCAGAGGCTTTGAAATAATCGGGGAGAAGAACGCTCTGAGAGAAGGGTGGACAATCCCCGAGCCGCGAGAGGCCAACTGCACAACACAGGAGAAAACAATGGTAGGGAATAAGACCCTGCTGTCATAAAGCCCTAGCGGGGCCCCCTGCCATCTTTACAGAGACCTGCTGTGCACATTTGAAGACCTTTCAGAAGCGCTGTCTTCAGCCAGAGCTCAGGGGATGGACAGGCACCGACTGGCTTTCAGACCCGGCAGAACTCAGGCTGTGTGACATCAGCCCTCGGGACACCAGCGCTCAACCACAGAGTTCTCAATTCTGTTCCACGTTCGGAACGTTAGCCTCCCAGGAAATACAGTGTCTAGATGGTATCTCGAATAATTTTGTTCTAAATCTTGTACCTGTGCAGGTTTTTGTTTCCCCAAGAGAGAATGTTTAGGATTATCTTCTAATCAAAACAGAGTTTGAGGGGCACCTGGGTGGTTCAGTCGGTGAAGCGTCCGCCTTTGGCTCAGGTCATGATCCCAGGGTCCTCGGATCGAGCCCCGGGTCTGGCTCCCCGCTCCATGGGAAGTCTGCCCCTCCCTCTCCTTCTGCCCCTCTCCCCTGCTCCTGCACGCTCTCTCCTTCTCTCAAATAAATAAAATCTTTAAAAAAAAAACCACACACACAGTTTGAGATTTCGATTTAAACCCAATCATGTGGGAAGGTGAACACTGCCCTTACACCTGACAGTTGCACTTGGCTTTGCCCACAAGGTGCGATAATTCTTTGTAGCCATGTATTGGGGTGTACGTGTTCACTGACGTGGATACGTGAAGTACGTTGATAAATACAGCTGACACACACACACACACACTGATGCATGACTGACGTGTCATAGTCATATATGTGCTTATACGTATTATACATGTAAATGACACACATACACAACAGGACACAGGGCACAGTGGGAAGAAACCAGAGTAGGGCACTGGTGGTGGCCAGGCGTTTCTGGCCACCCGGTGCAGACAGCCTGCCAGGCCAGCTCTGTGGCATGAGGGGATGAGCTTCCTGGGCCCCTCACGGGAGTCCAGGGACAAGGGCAGAGCAGAGCAGGCCCGGCGGGCACGGGCGGGGGACCAGCAGCCCCCCGGCGCTGGGGCAGCCCCCCTCTGGCTCTATGTAAATGTCGTGTGCCCCAGTCACGCGGGAAGCACGAGGTACCTGCGTGCCACTGGGAGTCACTTTGTTGCGCTTTTCATCTTCTTTGTTCCGTTTTACAGAAAGTATTCAGGATGTACCTAACAATCGAAAGCTAATTTAAAATGTAATGAAAGAGGCTGGAATTGAAAACGTGAACTCTGCCTGGGTCCACGTTACACTATCAGAGGGCTATTGCTCAGTTTTAAGGCGTGATAATGGTGGTGTGCTTTGCTTTTTTTCCCCCCAAGAGTCTATCTTGCACAGACCCATACGAACATATTTATGCACAGGATTACATAGGATGCCTGGGGCTTGCTTCTGAATATAGAAAGCGCACAGGGGGTGTGAGGGTAACGATGGGAAATTCCATGCCCTGAGCCACACCTATCTCCTGAGGCTGGCCCGGGTGCCCTCCCCGGCCGCAGGACTGACCTCGGACTGCTCGAAGCCACTGCTGCTGGTTCGGGGGGCTAGGAGAGCACGTCCATAGGAGACAGGGGAGCAGCGGGGGTCTGTGGACACAGCTGAGGGTGAGCGGCCCTTCGTAATCAGAAGGGCCCTGCCGGGGAAGGTCATCTAAAAGACGTGACTGCCGACTGACCCGTGAGCTGGACCTGGGCACGCGGATGCTCCTCACCCCCTCCCAGTCCTTGGAATGTGGGTTCTGTTCTGCTTGCCTTTCCTGCTCCCAGAAGCTGTTCCAAGGACACAGCCTTGAAAGGTGATGTGGTGTTGAAAACACCTGCAGAATTTATGGGACTGAGCCCAGGTAGGGCCTCTTGATAAACTTTCAAGATCTGGCAGGTGGGTGCAGGCACCCATTACACCTGGACAGCCCTTGGGAGGTTTTCGAACCAACAGGCCCCCACTCCATAGTCATGCCCCCCACCCCCCGCTCGCTCTTGCGTCCCCACCTGGTACGTGGCCGGCCCCAAATACCTCTGAGCTGACAGGAACTGAGTGGGGCTGTGCAGGTAGCTTGACAGGTATCCAAGCTCCCTGTGAGCACAATACCCTGATGCCACTGGGGCTGGCCCTGTCACTGCAGCATGCGTGTGAGGCCAAACACCTGCTCCAGGGACCTCACTAGGAACAGATCCCCCTGGGTCACAGTCTAGTACTGTGCCCTGTCCAGAAACCCCAATATCCTGGAGCCCCATGAGGGGTCTCAGGCTACAGGGCCATCAGACCAACCCGGCACAGAAGGGCTGCTAGGGCACCCCGGAGGGACTGCCAGGCCAGAGGATGCAGTCTACACCCGTCTCTGGGATGCCCCCCTTTTTATCTATCTTCCATAGAGCAGCTGGGAGGATTCTTTTTAAGTTTATGTATTTAGTTAAGTAATCTCTACACCCAACGTGGGATTTGAACTTACAACCCCAAGATCAAGGATCACCTGCTCCTCTGAGCCAGCCAGGCGCCCCAGGTTGATTCTTTAAATAATGAATCAATAAAGTCACTCTCCTGCTCAAAATATCACCACTAAACTTAGGGTGGAGTCCAAATTATCTGACCTCCAGGTCCTTCATCATCTTCCCATCCACGCTCTTTTCCATCCTCACCTCCCTCCTCCCGCCCCCTCACTGACATCTACCACACTGCCCTCTGTTATTCTGCAGGTGCTGGGTCCTGCCCCAGGGCCTTTGCACTTGTCCTTTCCTTTGCCCACACCACCCATGAATCCCCAATCACATGTGACACTGTCCCTCTTACTTTTCTTTCATTGCTTACTTTTCATCTTTGCCAGAGGTCTTTCCTGGCCACCTTAATATTGACTCCCCACCTCCAAGGCACTCACTTTCCTGATCTACATTCTTAGTCCCTGTCGCTATTTGAATTTTTCATTGTCTTGTTTATTGTCCGTCTCCTCCATTTAGAATGTAAGTTCCATGAGGGCAAAGAATGAGTCCATCATGTTCATTTCCATATTCCCTGTCCCTAGAACAGTAAGGAGTATTTGATGGATGAATGAGTAGCTAAAGGACACCCCCACACCGGCACCCCTGCTGTGATCAGACCTGTGACGTTGGCACTCCAGGCGCTGACCTGCAGCCCTAGTGCCTGAAGGGCCTTACTCCCTTCCCTCAGGCTCCCTGGACGTGACCAGTTACAAATTCCAGGCAGCTGAGCTTATTTTTTCTCCCCCTGTCCCTCCTCCAGTAGACTCCTTCATGAGGGGGAACGGAGAGGGGCAGTTCTAGAACTTCAGGTGATTCTACTTTATCCTCATGTACAAATCCCTGGCCCACAGACTCGAACACCACACAGCCAGCCATTAACTAGGATGGTAAATACCTACATTCACGAACACAAAAAGGCATCCATGACCTTCCACTGGGTTTGTGGCAATAGCATAGAGAATATAACTTATATAAAATCATCCACACACAAATCCTTCCCTGTGCACGTACACAATACATGGATCCGCAAGAATGTTCACCAAAATGTTACCATCTGAATCACTGGATTTTCTCCAAAATTTACATCGTCCTATACTGATTATTGCCTTTATTTAAAACAACAACAACAACAACAAGATCAGAGACACAAATCATCCCCAACCCTAGCCGACCAAGAAAGAAAACGGACGCAAACTGAGCAAACGGAGGCTCAGGCGGTGAGGCCGCAGGTGCGGCGGGCCCCAGCAGGCTGTGAGGGCGAGGCTCTGCGCCTCCGCCACCAGGCCCAGCCGCAGCTCACTCGGCGGCAGCCTGCCCACGAGCCCGCCACCACAGAAATGGAATGAGCAGGTGGCTGCCAGGTCGGGATGTAATTACCCGCGGGTGCCGCAAACATTCTCGCCCCAGCAAGAAGCGTGCTCCTGGGGTCTTCAAAGGGCTGCGCGTCCAGGCCCGGCCGGGCCTCCCGGCGGGCACACTTCAGGCCTGGGTGAGAAGGCCTTGGAAACGCGCGCCGCCCCGGCGCTGCGTATATAAAAGCGTCTGGGGGCCTGCGCCTCGGGAGGGAGACGGGACGGACGGTGGCGAGGCGGGGGCGCGGGGCTCAGCCGGGGCCATGCTGGCCGCCTCCGTCGTCCGTCGGGCCCTGCTGCTCTGCTGGCTCGCTGCCCCGCGGCCCGCCGGGCCCGAGCCCCTTTTCCACAGCCGGGACCGCTCGGACGCGGAGCCCGCCCCGCTGCGCCGGGCGCAGCCCATCGCGGACCCCGTCGCTGCGCAGGTAGGAGCCCCCGCGGCACCGGCCACTCACGAGCACACGCGGGCGCGTGCACACGAGACACGTGCGCGCGCAGGCACGGACATGCGCGGGCACGCGGGCCCGTGCACACCATCGGGGGGCACCTACACTCGCGGACACGCGCACACGCAGGCACGTGCAAGGCGGCCACACCGCCTGAGGTGAGGGGCCTCCCCCAGACAACGATAACCACCCACTAGAAATGTGCGCACGGCGAGCGCAGGCCCGCGTGAGGGCCTACGGGCCTGGCGCGTCCTGTCTCCTGCAGAAACCTTGTACGTGACACAAACACACGCCGCGTCCTAGCCGCTCAGTGCGCGACCCCCGCCCCGCGGGTCGGGACCTCTCTCTTCCGCAGCGATTCCTGTCCAAGTACGGCTGGGCCG